GAGCGTGGTCTGGCGCGGCGGCCGCCGTCCGCAGAGGGGGCACAGGACCGGAGGGCGGCCCTGCCGCGTGGATTGACGACGGTGGCGACGAAGTCGGCCGCGTTTCGAGAGTTTTCGGGTGTTTCTGTAGGTTCGCGCTGCCGCGGACGAGCGGCTTGAAACAGAGGCCAGGACTTGTTTCGGGACAGATTTTGAGCGGAAGGCCTCGGGGAAGGGTCGAGAGCTACAGCGGCTCAAATCTTGAGTAAATCGAGCCGCTGTGCTTTTTGGACTCTACATGTATTGGACAACCAATGTCCGCTTTGCAGACGACGTCTTACTGTGTGCGCCGGCCCTGCGCCAATCGTAATGTTGTATCCGTGTCTTAGGTAAAAAGTCTGCTGCACGATGCGGCGTCCTTTGCGCATTTGGACGGACATGGCACCATGTACGATCGTCGCTCAGCGACGAGGCAGATCAATGCGAGTCGTAGGCTTCAGCGCAGACATCGCGGGACACTTTGTTGCAACGCAGAGCCGAATTAATTTGGGCAACAATTCGCCTCCCACGCTTTCCACGACGAGGAACTCACGCATTGACTCGCTTCTATGTGACGTAGGTTCAATCAATTTGGTCACGAAATGGTATCGACCATCTGAGCCTTGCTCTCGTGTAAGCCGACTGCGCCTCTTTTGTGGAACCGTGACGCCGGCCTCTTTGTAGGACTCAGCTCATGGACCCTTGCTATATGTGTTCACGTGGGTGAAGTGGAGTCGAATTCTGGTTTCGGATGTCCGCGCGGATTTATTGGGTCGGCGCTAAATGATCCCTTCCCTGGCGCGCCGAGCGTGGCTGGGGCCTTCGTCCGTGGCGCTGTCACGGGTTTGGGGAGGAGGGTCCAGCGCTGACCTTTGTTCCGTTCTAATCGGTGCCGCTACCGTATGCACAGAGCAAGGTGTGCAGGTTCATCGTCGGCACCAGGAGAAACGCACATCAAGGAACCACGTCGACTGCGACAAAAAGCAATTTATCCCATTTATGATCGCGTGGCACGAGATAAGACCAATCAGGACACAGAGCTGTCGCCAGCACCCCCACTGATAAGCGCAACGACGCCACTATCAACGACGACTCCCGCCGTAACGCTTTGGAACTGTGGATTATCTTTGTCAAAAGAGCTGTGCAAACACAGCCATGGACTATGCCACACGCTGAAGGATAGACTATTGCGTTCTGGCTGCGTTCAAAAGGAAACAACGGTTTGCCAACCGAATCGCGCATCTACCTGCTGGCCGATGGCCCCGACGTGTAGCCTTGCTGGATCCCCCATTTCACGACCATAATCGGGCCCGTTAACAACATGGATGGCAACAAAGACGCTGGTACCAGTAGTTCGTCAAGATCTGTGAGTCGATTCGTGTCGTGGAAACTGGTACGAACCACCATGCGACACTGGCCTCAACTTGTTGTCGGCACATGCGTGCGGCAACTACGCGTGGCAGGGTCAAGAGCCAGCGTGCATTTGATATGCTATGTGATACCCGATCGAGGCCGCCGAGCTCTGAGGGCTCTGGCCCGCTAGCGCTTCCGCGCGCTCGCTCGCCCTCCGTGGCCCCTCCTCCCTCCCCTCTCTCTTCGCTTCTTAGGCTCTTTGGAATTTCTACAGCTCGTCGGAACGCCTCACAATCCGTGCGGGATGCTCGTCAGCGTGAGCCCCAGACGAGCCATGAGGTCCTTGTACTCTCGGTGTGCAGTCTATGTGGTACAGGATACGTACGTGGTGAAGCTATGTGGTGCGGCGTTCAAGGTTGAACTCCGCAAGTGGCGCAAAATTCGCTGATGTCGAAAGATCTACGACATCGGGACACCGCGATGGCTCAATGCGGAACAATCTACGCGGTGTCAGGAAGCAACGTCGACATCGTCACGACATTAACCCGCCGTAAGTTTCGCGGTGCTGTGTACCTGGTATAAAGTATGTGGTGTGTGGAGTACGCTATGACTGTGTATGGTGTATTATGTGGTTCACGTTATGTGTTGTAAGCTATGTGGTGTAAGCTATGTGTTGCAAGCTATGTGGTGAACTATGTGTCGTGCAATATATGTCGTGTAAGCAATGTGTTGCAGGCTATGTGGTGAAATCCATGTGGTGCCAATTATGCGGTCCAATTAGTTTTGCCGCTGATGAATTGACAACTGCACTGCTCGCGCAAACATCCCACCCACCCATCCGAAACTTGTTGGCACAGCTCATCTGGCCACGATATCAACGAGCGCACTGGCGCGTTGGTCTCAACCGCGTCGACACGTCCGTCCTGCAGGTCGCGACATGGTGGTTGCGATGGTTATGACCGCGTCGCCAATGATGATGGTCATGACATTGGTAGTGACGTTGATGCCGATGGTGATGACAGTGGAGATGGGGGTGGTACGATGTCGACGGCGGCGATGGCGATGGTGATGAAACGTGACGACCACAACGATGAAGCTGGCGATGATGATGTTGATGATGATGTTGTTGATGGTGATGACGATGATGATGATGCTAATGCTGATGCTGATAATGATGATGCTGATGATGATGCGGATGATGACGATTGTGCTGGTAATGGTGATGATGCTGACGATCATGATGATGCTTGCTGCTGATTATGCTGATGGTGATGATGATGGTGGTGGTGGTGGTGCTGATGATGCTGCTGAGGATGATGCTGATGATACTGATGATGATGACGATGTGCCCGCGAACAGAAGTTTGACGAGGGCGATTTCATCGACGATGACGACGGTGGTTGCGGCGGTGATAATGACGACGATTGTGGTTATGATGATGATGCTGATGATGCTGAAGAAGACGATGCTAGTGATGACGCTAGCGATGATGATGGACATTGGCTGATGAGGATGATGCGAAATGCGAGCGCGTAGACATTCAAGACTCCAGGCAGACCTTTTATTGGACAGTCACTTTTATCTTGATATACATTTGACGAACTCTCCTGGACTTCTTCGAACACCACCAGTAGTTTTGGACGCATTTCAACGCGCTCGTGGCGGCGCGCTCATGTTGCCAGCATTGTATTATTTGGTCTGGATTCGTGCACTGGGCGCATGGTAGGTCGATCAACGGATGTGCTTGCGGTGACATGACAATGCGGATTCTGGACGGGATTGCTAACGCCGTTTGGTTTTCACATCAGCAAGTGCGTGGAAGCCGACAATCAGCAATACATCTGATGGCACATGTTTCCATGCCTGAACGCTTGGAGAGCTCTAGTTTCTGGTATGATCTCGACAGCGCGTCTAGAGTCTGTGTCTTATTGCAAGGGGTTATGAACAGATGCTATTTCGAGATGATCAACTGCGCGCATACAATTGTCTGACAAGGGATGAAGGGGTGCGTGATGGCAGATGCCGACCTGGCTGTGAGGGTGTGAATTCACATAGAAGTCGGTGGTGTGGCAGAACCCGAGGTGCATTGCAATGCTAAGGGGCTGACCGTTGATCTCGGGCGCTGGAGGGTGGCAGAGCCTATACTGGACTTGAAAGGATAGCACATCTGGTGCCAGCTGTGTGGTGGGCAGCACGAGGTGCCGACGGACGGGCGCGCACCAGGCGAAGCCTCTCGCCGAGCGCGTTGCAATATTCGCAGGGTGCCTACTCGAAAACGTCAGAAAAAACAGGTGCTTGCTTCGACGAGATTTATCGTAGATCCTCCGCGGCGAATCGAGGCCATTTGCGAGTAGTTACTTTGCGAGCAGTGGAACGCGCTCGTCTGATCACAGGGACCTCTCCCAGCACGAGGCGCCCATGGGGCACCACCCACGGGCACCAGGCGAGAAAACCTGGCGAGCCCATGCAATTGTGTAAGGAGACAGGCGGGAACCCCGCACCGTAAGCCGCGTTCGGGGAACCTGCAGGGGTCTCTTAGAATTTCCGCTGGGCCTCTGGAGAGCCATCCTCGTCCTTCTCCCTCTCTTTCCTCCCCTCCTCGCTCCTCCCTCATCCTCCTCCCGGCGGCAACAGTGACGAAGACGACGAAGAGGATGACGACGATAGCAACGACGAGGATGGCGACGACGACGACGAATACGACCGATTACGACGATGACGACGACGACGATTACGACGACGACGACGACGACGACGACGACGACGACGACGACGACGACGACGACGACGACGACGACGACGACGACGACGACGACGACGACGACGACGACGACGACGACGACGACGACGACGACGACGACGACGACGACGACGACGACGACGACGACGACGACGACGACGACTGCGGACGACGACGACTGCGGACGACGGCGGCGACGACAATGGCGAAGACGCCGCCGACCGTCGTCGCCGCCGCCGACTGGCGGCAGCGACTACCCCGACCGGACCGCCGACGGCGACGACGACGACGTCCGCCCACGGCGACGCCGGCAGCGCCGTCGCCGACTGCCGCTGCCGACTTTGAGATCCGACGCTGCGAAAAAATTACAGCGTTGCGAAAAATCACGCCCGGAGCCCCAGACCCCATCTTTCTGCGCCATTTGTCGAGCAGCATCGACCTGTGAGAGTCCCGGGGCCCGAGCCTGGGCGAAAACGCCCGCTGTGAAGAAATCGCAACGCCAGGATCTCAGGGTCGGATGGGGCTAGGACGAGGATAGCTCCGTTCCAGAGCGAGCTGGAACGCCCTCAGAGCGATCCGGATCGCTCCGAGAAGGCCGCGGTGCCCGAGACATCCCCCATAGCCGCTGGATCTCAGAGATTCCCGATGCACCCCCATCCGGATTTATCCTCTTCCTGGCTTCGTCTTACGGGACGCCGTCGACCTTCGACGTCGGCGGCGGCGACTGGCGCCGCCCGCGGCGGCGCCGACGCGGTGCGGTGGCCACGGGCGCCGCCCGCGGCGGCCGCCGCAGAGCGGCAGGCCGCGGCTCGGGCGAGGCCGCCAGGCGCCGCCGCGCAGGCGGGGGCCGCCAGCCCCGGCGGCGCGGCGCGGCACGGCTCCGCGGTGCGCCGGCCGCTGGCCGCCACGCCGCTGGGGACGCGCGGCGGCGGCGGCGTCGGCGGCCTGTCAGCCCAGAAGTCCAACGCATGGACAAAATCGAAAGGCGGGAGGTTGTTCGGTAACTTTCGGGGCCCTCGCTGGGCCCCGGGATTGTGAAGAACGACTCAGGATGGAAAACCGGTCCTGGGGGATGGGTCTAGACTTCGGGGACCCCGCATTGAAAAAATCACCACATCGGATCTCTGTGAGAGGAGGGCCGCCCCTGAGATCCTGGCGGCTCAATTTTTTCGAGCCAGGCCCAGTTTCGGGTCCAGGGACCCTCACAGATCGATCTAGCTCAAAAAAAATGTCGCAGAAAGATGGGGTCGGGCTCCAGTCGTGATGTCTCACGACGTCTATTTTTTTGTTGAGACGTCCGATCTCCGGGGCTGGAGACACTCTCAGAGCGTTCCAGAGCGCTCTGTGGAGGCCGAGGCGCCCAAGGCATCCTTCACAGAGCCGCCAGATCTCAGAGATGCGCGATGTGTCCTCATCTGAGGGTATCCTCGTCCTGGCTTCGTCTTGTCCAGGCCATTTGCGAGCAGTTCCTTTGCGAGCAGTGGAAAAGCGCTTGTCTCTAGGCCTCCTAGATGGGGTCGGAGTAGATGGGATCGGAGGATCGCGCCGCATCGCCGATGCATCGCCGATGGGGCTCGATGTGGAGCCCGATGGGCTTCAGGTCGACGTCGCCGATGCATCGCCCACGTCGACGATGCATCGCGGGCGCATCGGCGATGCATGACCGATGCATCGCCGATGCATCGCCGATGTATCGGCGATGCGGCGCGATTCTTCGACCCCATCTGGGAGGCCTCTAGTATCAGAGGAGGCAGCGGTACCCATGCCTCTACCCTTCCCTCGTTTTCCCCTGTTTGGGCCTCCTGGGAGGCCCTCGTCGCCACCGCTGGGTTCGCCTCGAGATTCTGGTCGGAACGCACCCTGGGGGAGGTCCGGGGAGTAGCGGTGTCGGTACACTGTGCCCTGACCTTCCAGGAGGGCTGAACAATAGCACCTGACGTAAGAACCTATCCCAAAGCTATTCTACGTCTTGGTTTTAGGCTGTTTTGCTAAGCTTTTTAGGTTTTCAGGTCTCCAGTGCTAAAAAATAGCTCTCTAAAAGGTCTGGGTGGTTTCCCCACAGTAGAAGGCTTTCGGGGGCCCCCTCGTCGCCACGGCCGGACGCAGCTCGGGAGACCGGTGCGTTTGGGCCCCGCGAAGTGTCAGTCATCGAGAACAAGTGAAGCCTTACTTAGGTCCCTGCCTTCGCATTAGGGATAGTACTCAGGAGGGGGAAAAACACACAGACACAATTAATCGTCGATTCCCCAGAAAATATAGGAAAATACGGGCAGTGGGGGGGAAGACAGATTCCCAGAAAAGATGGTAAAATATGGGGAATCCTTTTATTCGTGTATATTTATTTGTGTGTCCCAGGGCCCCTTCAAATACATCTGGGCGGTTTGGTTCGATGCATCTTCAGAAAAGACCCCCTAACCCTAATGCCTTTGCCTTCCTAACCCAGGTCCCCTCCCGAAGGGTTAGGGGCCGTTTTTTTCCTAGCCAGTCCGGGGGCCGATTTTGAGTCAGTCTTAGATTTCCAGTGTCTCAACTCGCCCTGCTCCGATCCTTCGAGCCCAGGCAGGTGTGTTCGAGTCGCAGCAGATACGTTGTTGAATTATTGCGAACGGTTCTACGCATCGACCTCCAATCGCCCATGGATCGCCGATAGTGGCCCGATAGCCCCAACCCGCCCAGGAAGGTGCGGATCCGCTATCGGGGGCCTAACGCCGATCTATCGGCGAGGTATCGCCGACTCCTTGTCGATGCATCCCCTCCTATGCCTATCCCCCCTATCGTTGCCCCTCAAGCAGCCTCCTTCTGAGAAGCCTTTCCCCCCTCCCCTGCCCCCCCTGCGCGCCGCCAAAAGACGGGTCAGAAAGGCTTCGTGACGGGGTCCACAGCGGGCCTCTGTGAGGCCCTTCGTCGCCTCGGCTGGATCCTCGTCGAAGGGGAAGAACCCAGTGGCGGGCGATGGGGGGGAAGTGAGAAACAGAAGGTCCTCTCAGAAGGTGGCGGGACTTCTCGGGAGCCCTCGCGCCTTCTGCGAGGTGTTCTGCTTCTTCGGGGAAGGCTTCTGGATCTTCTCGGAGGGCTGGGGGACTTCCGAGCCTTCTGAGAAGGCCTTCTCTTTCTTACTTCCCCCTGGGGCGCGCCGCTGAAAAACGTGTCAGGATGGCTCCGTGACGGGGTCCAGAGCGGATTTGGTCTCAGCTGGCCCTCATCCGAGTCTTCGTTTCGATTTGGTTGTTGTTATTGCTGTTGTTGTTGTTGTTGTTGTTGGTGTTGTTGTTGTTGTTGTTGTTGTTGTTGCTGCTGGTGTTGTTGTTGTTGTGGTTATGGTTGTGGTTGTGGTTGTTGTTATTATTGTTGTTGTTGTTGTTGTTGTTGTTGTTGTTGTCGTTGAACTCTCATTACTGCGGAATGATTATTGTTGATCCCCTTTCCGGTGACCATTGTGCTTTTTCAATTGACGTGCTGTCCCCAGGGCTCGCACCTTGTTTGTTGATCAGGGAAAGTCACGGGGCTCAAACTGCGTTGTTGGCCCCCGGATTACAATAACAATCATCTGACCCTCATGCGCGATGCTTCCATACGAAGCATGCGACCATCATGACAACCATCCCCATCCTGGGGGACTATAGTTTTATAGCGGGGTCCGTAATTCCCATTCCCAGATATCCCGCCAAATGAGGTCTTGCACCTCCTCCGAGGAATTTCAACATATCCCGCCTCGAAAACACATGCCCGCGCCTTGCTGCGCCGATGCGAGACCGCCAGTGGAGCCCCAGCGAAGGGTAAGGCACAAGGAAGTATCGAGCGACAGGATTGCCTTGGTGGGGATGGGGGCTGTCGGGGGCGAGGCAAGGCCCTGGCCCTGAATAGAAAGGGAGGAATTCTCGAGCAGGGCCGCTGTTGTTGTTGTTGAACATTATTAATTCTAAAGAATAATTATTGTTGGGCCCCCTGGTGCACGCCCCCCCTACGCCGCCTAGGCCGCAGCTACATTTTCATCATTTTCGTGAGGAAGCCTCAGGTAATACGATGTCATCAAGATCCGGTTGTTTTGTTGTAATCCGTTTTCCCTTGCAAAAAACACTATACAATGAAATTTCTTGTTCTAAAATAACCAAACTTCAAGAATCCCTTGCAAAAAATAAGGTAAAGTGGACATTCGCGCGCGCAAGACGAAATCCTTCCAAAACCTTAGTGTTCGTAACGATTTCAACATAAAAACATCAAAAAACCATTTTTTTTTTTTTTTTTTTTTTTTTTTTTTTTTTTTTTTTTTTTTTTTAAGTGTCAAAATTTCATACCGCGCGCTCTTGCGGATTTGCAGGAAACCCAACACTTTTTAAACATTTCTGTCAAACGGGCTTTTGCGAGCAACTTTTTCGAACTTCTCCAACAACGGTTGCGCACCTGCCAGGGCCATCATCCCTGTCAAATAATACCATGCGGGACACATTCGTTTTTTCTTCGCGCGCGCACGCCGAAATCTCCAAAAACCATTGGGTTCTTAAGAATTTTAGCACCGCGCATCATAAAATCACACGAATCGCACATCCCACATCCCTCAGGAATTTGCCCTAAAGATGTGATCAACTATCTTGTGAGTACGTATCATGTGTATCATGTGTATCATGTACCATATGCATCATATGCAACAGATGTTCTGTGGAAGGCTTAACAACTTCTGTGGGTTAACAAGGCTTAACAACTTCTGTGGGTGTACGAACGTAGGCTTAACAACTTCTGTGGGTGTGTACTCCACGCCAGTGTAGTAGCCACGGTCGTCCGCAGGCCACGAAGTGAAGTGTCCGAACGTCATAGGGCGGGAAGCTGGGTGTGGGTGGTGGCGAAGAGTCGTGTGGATATTTGGTAGAGCTTGCACTGCCCCCCCACAAAGTGGGGGTATTGGCTGGCGTCGCATGAAAACCCTGGCACTGGTGAGAACACTGAGCGTTCGGGTAAAGTGATTGTTGTTGTTGTTGTTGTTGTTGTTGTTGACGAAACCACTCACTGGCGCCGGCCCCCCCCCCCCCGGCGCAACGCAACGCAACGCAACGCAACGCACGTTACCCCGAATCCTGTCGGATTCCGATGGGAATCCTATAGGTCTCCGCGAACCTTATAGGAATCCTGTAGGAATCCCACAGGAATCCCATAGGGCCTCTACGAATCCGATGGGAATCCCATGGGAATCTTATAGGAATTTCATTGGGCCTTTACGAATCCGATTGGAATCCCATAGGAATCCAATGAGAATCCTAGAGGGCCTTTTTACGAATCCGATTGGAATCCTATAGGAAGCCTGTAGGAAACCTATAGGGCCTTTTAGGATTCCTATGGGAATCCCATAGGAATCCCATGGGAGTCCCATATGGCTTTTAGGATTCCGATGGGAATTCCATGGGAATCCTTCCTGGGAATCCTGTAGGGCCTGTACGAATCATATACGGATCTTATAGGAATCCTTTTTGGGAATCCTATAGGGCCTCTACGAAGCCTATAGGAAACCTATTGGAATCCCAGAGGAATCCTATAGGGTCTCTACGAATCCCATAAGGATCCGATCGGATTCCGATGGGAATCCTACAGGGGGCCTCTACGGATCCTATAGGAATCCAACTGGAATCCCATAGGAATCCTATAGGGACTGATTCCTTTGGGAACCCTATAGGAATCCGATGGAAATCCTATCGGGCCTCTTCGAATCCGATGCGAATCCTAGAGGAATCCGATGGGAATCTTATAGGGCTTATCCGATTCCCATCGGAATCCTTTCTAGGAATCCTCTAGGGCCTCTACGAACCCTATAGGAATTCTACGGGAATCCAAGAATAATCTTATAGGGCCTGTACGAATCCTATAGGAATCCGGTAGCAAACTCATAGGAATCCTAT